TTTTTTTTTTTTTGGTACAAATTAATGTTGTTTGTTTGAAATCATGTAGTTTGTTAATTTGGTGGCTGCCGAGATAATTATGCCTTTTTGGTTGGAGCTATATATATAATCCTCCCTATATATAATTTCAGAATGCGCTGAGCCTACGTGGCTGCTTCTGGTGCTTCGTAATCCTACTTGGCGAAGAATCATGCTTCGTAATTAGGTTTGGACAAATAATATTGATATATTAATAAATAATAATTTAGGTTTGGACATTCCATAAATATTATTTAGCTAACTTAGGTATTTTAATATCAATTGTACTAATATAACCCTTTAATTCTTTGTATTTTACATAGTGAGACACTAAGTGACTAATATATCCTGACTTTTGATTTATTTCCTTCAATTAGATATTGAAATGTAAATGTACTTTAAAAGTTGATAACTTTTGTATTTTTTATCGGTTATACATATATAATATATCAAATTAATCACCTTTTGATGATCTTCGATTTGACATCCATATTGTATATATGAAATAAATAAATTATATTTATATTTATAATAATAAAAAATAATAATATTTATGAAAATTCATTAGAAACATAAAATTATTTCTCAATTGATATATTTATGTTTAATATAGTTATTTGTTGTAAGTTAAAAAAATTATTACAGTATAACACATGTAAGTCGCACAAATAAAAAGTCTCATACTAACTACATAATAATATATATATTTTTATAAAAGGTATTTAGATTTTCAACTATTTTTATAATGAATTTTATATTTTAAGAAAAAAATTAGCACACACCCGTGTAATACACGGGCGTTGTACTAGTATTGATGATTAGTCAAAGATTGTGAATTCGTTCGTTTTACAACTTGAATAAATTCTATGGGCAACTTAATAAAAAAATAATATTCATGAAATTAAAATTAGTACATACATTCAAAAACAATTTTGTAACTTAAACACAATCATCAACCAATTTAGATTCACTGTTTTGTCTAATTGTAATAGTTGTTTGGGCTTTGGCAGTGCAAACCACTGGCTCTCTATGAAGCGAAGCCCCTCAATAAATCCAAGAGATATGTAGTTTGGATATATTAGGCACAAAAAAAAAAAAAAAGAAAAGAAAATCATCCACGTTTGAATTATTTATGCAAAACTTTATGTGAGCTATTTTGTAGTACTATCACCCATATTTATATTATTCAATAATATACTTTTAAATTTAAATAAAGTAACATGTATTTTTTTGTATAGATAGACACAAGTTTTCAACAAATGTTTAAATATTCGTAAACTTAACTATTCTACAACAAAAAGGAACAACATAAATATAACATTTTATTATGAAGTGTATATTTAACAAAATACAGTAACTTCAAATTGCAACTAAGATGGGGACCATTGTTTTTTTTTTTTTTTCATTATTATTATTTATTATTTAAAATCACACACATAGAGGTCCGACAAGCCGACTCATTTATGTATCTATTTTTATTATTATTAAATTTTAATTTCCGCCCTTTTTGCACCTTTGTTTTGTAGGTTCCTCACATTATGATTACTACAAACAAACAGTAGTTTATCAAGCGCTTTTCCTGTTCGCTTGGCACTAAACTTGTTTTCTGCGGCATTACTTTTGTTGAGTGTTGTATTATTATTTGCATATTAATAATTAATTAACTCTGCTTTTCTTCACCACTGCCAAAAAAAAAAAGCTACAGAAAAGAAAAGAAAAGAAAAAAGAAAAAAAAAAATGGAGAGGGAATTAGAAATGGGTGAGCCAAAGGTTGATGCTTTTTTTGCAAAAGTTGGAATTTATGATGTAATTATTCCTTTTCTTTTTCAATGGTGAAGATTTTTTTTTTTCCAAATCATTTTTTCATCTGATTCTCTCTACTGTTTCTTCTATCAATATCCACTTTTCTTTTATTTTTGTTAATTTTTTCTTCTTAATATAAAAAAAAAAATAAAGGTTTTTACGGTTCGAAGAATTTTGGTGCTCGAAGATTCCTTCAAGAAGCTGCTAAAAATCTTGGTCCCTTCATATTCTTAGAATAATTTGTGTTTGGAAATGCGGTTTTGCTTTCAGCTTTCTGCGTTATATATCTCTTCTTGGGTTTTAAATTTCAACCCTTTTGTTGTATTTGTTGCTCCCTTTTGCACATATGCCATAGCCTAGGGTTCATAGTTTTGAAGGGGTTCTGAGTTTTGGTCTGTTAATGCTAGATTCCACTTTCTTCTTTGAAATGGAGAAGAGTGAACAGATTTTGATTAGAAGCACCAGTAAAAAAGCCTTGAGTATGTCACTCTTGTTTATTTTCCGGGTTAAATTGTTATCTGCTCAATGCTTAGATATGAGGAGCAGAGACATCTCAAGGGAGCCCTCATCATCGTCCCCATATTCGAAAAATCGAATCTTTTTCAGCATATTTTTGGGAGTTTTAACAGGATTGGTTTGTGCCCTCTTATTTGCTTTGCTCCTGAGGTACTTTGTCAGACACATTAATCGAAACCCAGTCCTCAAAGTGGGCCCCGTCATTTTTTCTCCAAGAATTTCTCCAAGGACGCTCAATTTAGCCCTCTGTAACGACCCCCAGTTGCTGGGCTCGAGTCAGAACGGAAAGTATTATAAGGCTGTGCTCGAAAATGGCCTCAATGTTGCTGTCAAGAGACTCGGCCCGTTTTTCTTCGCATCTTCTGAAACCCACAGCAAGAGAAAAATACTGCAGGAGCTCGGGAAGCTAGCATGCCTGAGGCATAGGAATCTGATGAGTTTGAGGGCTTATGTGTTTGAATCGGGAGTTTACTCTTTAGTTTATGATTATGTGCCGATGGGAAGTCTTGAGGATGTGATGAAAAGAGTGAGGGAAAATCAGTTGGAGCTTAAGTGGGAATTTCGGCTTAGGATAGCAGTTGGGATTAATAAAGGGCTGAATTATCTGCACTTTTGTTGTGATCCAAGAAGATTACACTATAACTTGAAGCCCTCGAATGTTATATTGGACTCGGAGTTCGAGCCGAGGTTGGCTGACTGTGGATTAGCTACGATTTTTCCAGGCTTTGTTCGAGCATCATCGGACTTCAATCCTCCGGAATGTTTTCAGAACTCCAGGTATGGTGATGATGAATGATAAGTAGCTTATTATTAATGTGTGGTTTTAAATTTTAATTGAAGGTATCATGAATATGAATTGTTTATTAGTAATTGTTAGCTGCTTTCACTTGTGCAAATATGTTCATGGCTATAGTACTATAGATTAGTAGCTGCTACCAAATAGATTTTATGCTTTGGCAGTTCTTGAAGACAATTATTGAGTTGCTTGAACTATACTAATGCTAAAACTTTCAAATCTGAAACTAAGCTTCATGGAGAAAGCCAAATAAACGTAAAGGATCACTTTGCAAGCAAACCCAATTTGTCGATTTTTGGAACTGTTGAATACTCATTATTTACGTAATTGTGTGATTATTCGTTAGGTACACTGATAAAAGTGACATTTATAGCTTTGGGATGATATTGGGCGTTCTATTAACCGGAAGGGACCCGAACGACACATCCTTTGGTAGCATGGGAGAATGGCTTAGGCAAATGCAGCAAGAAGGTGAAGCTCGAGAAGCACTAGACAAGAATATCCTCGTTGGGCAGCAAGTCGAACAAGATGAGATGCTAATGGCTTTAAGAATTGCTGTTGTTTGCCTGTCGGATTTACCTGCTGATCGACCCTCTAGCGACGAGCTCCTTTCGATGCTCACTCAATTAAATAGTTTCTGATCAAGTGTGTGTCTCTGTGTTTTTTACTTATTTCTTTTCTTTCTTTTATGGCGACTTTTGCTTGTACTAATTCTTAACCTTGTAGTTTTGCTCGACCAACCGGCCAAATGCTGCGAGAGGTGGTTTTGAAATATCCAAGCAAATGTCTTTTAGGTTTTAGCTTTAGGATGCTTGATGTGGATATGAAGGGCTTTGTATTTATATTATTTTTGTGGAGAGCTCCTTTGAGTTCACATTTGGTTTGATATAAATACTATATTAGAGCCTTTGTTGACGGTTAAAGTTAATGCATTTGACCTTCACTCTCTTTTCTTTATGTGGTATATAGTCAACCCAACTCAAAATCCCAAGGAGTAGAAAATATTATCAACACATCAAACTAGTCTACTCAAAGAATTTATCCATCAAAACATCAAATTAAGGGCATTATCATCTGCAATAGCTACAGAAAGAAAGAGACCACAGGCAAACCATCTGAAAGACGAAGTATCTGTGTTGCAATGTAAAGGATGCAAATATATCTCAAGATTCCATAAAGAATCGATAATCATAACATAAACAAACATCATTTCTCATGAGAATACAAAATTCCATTTACAGCTCTAACCTCTCTCACTTAGCAACCTCAGGGAAAATACACACACACTTAGCTCACTTAGCTGCAGTCCTAAGGAATATACTTGATAACAAAAATAAGCCAAGATAACAAAACAATATCTCGCACAAAACATCCAAATCAAGCGACGGCTAAGACGAGTTAGAGGGGAGTTTAGATTTAACATTCAACTCCTTCAACAAGATCCTCTAGTTCAAGACGTTGTAGTGCAATGGAGTACTTGGCGAATTTTCTCTTGGAATTTGCAGTGTCTGGATAGAGCTTTTGAAGGATAAATGATCCAGAACCATCACCTTTGACAACAGAAAAATTGAACCCAAAAAAATAGAAATAAAAAATCCATAAATCCAGTTTACTTCAAATACTAATCGAGACTAACTAGAGAAAGGCGGTACCTTTAACAGTGTAAATGCAGTGAACCCACTTCTTGTAGATATAGAGAAGCCTCGGGATTTCGCCCTTGTGAGTGTCTGACAGTACAACTTCGCAACAACCCTTTTTACTGCAAGTGCAAATATTTACAGCCACATATAATTATCCAAAGTTGAATCAAAATACTATCAATGAGAATGCAAACGAACTAGATAGCAATTTACATGTGAAGAAACAAATTTGCTCACTTGGCATGATCAATTGCATTCCGGCAAAGCGACAAGACTCGCACCATGGCTAAGTCTCTTCCTCTTGGATTCTTGTATCTTTCTTGGCATTTTCTTCAAATAAGTACAAAATATTTAAGGATCACACAGTTGATGATGAAACTAAAACTTGCAGAAATCAACCACAAAAACCAGCAACTTAAACAATTTATACCTTTCATCGAAAAAATCAGCAAAATCATCGATAATAACTGAAACAGGGAATGTATCCAGCAAGTGGAATGCAGCAAAAAACTTCTTGATCCCTTCATAATCATCCACATACCTTCGTTCGAATAACAGTAAAAAGTGGAAAAGAAGATGTTACTGCTACACTGCTACTCAAACAAAACACAAGACAGAACAAATCAAAAGAGAAAGATTGAGGGCTAACTGTACTTCATTTGAACCCGTCCAAATATCTCCGAAGATGGATCAACACCCTGAGGGTTAAAAAAATTATAAATTACCCAAAAAAAATAAAGAAGCATTATACATCCAACCGATTAGAAATTGGGGTGAGAATAAAATTGAAGGTACCTGCGAGAGGAAAGGAGGATTTTGTTCCAGCCGGAGCCTGCTGCACAAGAAAACCACCTCACCGACGTTTCCCGCCGTCGAGTTGAGCGCAAATTGGAAAAGCAACGAGGTCTTACCACTGCACAATATGTGAATAATCGCTTCAAATTGATATGAATAAGAACAGGTGAGGAGAAAGAGAGAGGGGGAAACGCTTCGCCGGAGATGATTACGATGAAAGCGGGCCGGAGACAAGGGATATCTTGCTGGATTCAGCCGGAATTTGGGAAGCTTTACTGCGCGAGTGGAAAAATCTTTCCACCATTTTGCCGAGACTGTAGAAACCGGTCAAATTGGCTGATCTTCTAATTGTGTCAATGCCCGAGTTAGGCTGGATTTAGACCGGGCCCGTGTTATTCCGGCTGTTTGGATTACAAAACACTGCTATAATCATCAGCCGTTCCTACCAAATTGAGGGCACAAATATTATAGTGTGATATCATGTGAAATGCATACTTATAAGAGTGGTAAAGGAACCTATAGACATGAACTCGAGCCTTTTAAAGAGTTGAGCTCGACTCATTTTACTAAACAAGTTTGTGGTCGAGTTGGAGTTCAACTTATTAACTAAATGAATTTTCAGCAAACTCAACTTGTTTATCAAACAGTCGAGCTGAGTCGAGTTTACAAGCGACTCGTTTCATTTAACAACTTCACTTATATTACCAAATATCATATGTATTTCTATATTATACATATTTACGAAAAAAAATGTATATTTACAAAAATAGTATGCCGAACAAATGTTACCCTGAGTACGAGTACATAGTTTACAATGTTTTGGAACCCCTACCCTAATTAGCTGAGAGTCTTAAGACCTACCGAAGAGTATGTTAGCAAACAAATATTGATTATTATCATTTGATTAATTAATTTGCGCCTGTAAATCAATTTGATCATATTATTACTTTGGTCAAGCATATAGCTTACGTACGTACGTGGCTTCAATACCTATATATAAAACGATTGAGACTTCTCATTCCATTAATTCCCCAGGCAAAACCAAATAGATAATTAATTAACAATATTTCGTTATTTAATGCAAACATTAATTAAAAACACAAATGGTTTAACAAATTAATTTATCTTATTATTATATTCTTAATGATTGGTTTAACAAATTAGTTTATTTTATTGTTATTTGATTAACAATATTTTGTTATTTAACTAATTAATGAAGATTTAGGAAATAATTTTCTCTTTGCACAAGACACAAAAAAACATTCAGAACCGAAAAAAAAAAAAGTGAACAAGAAAAAGGAACTCAGGGGGTTTAACTGATTATTAATTTTATAAGGAGAGTATCAAATTTGAGGGAAATGCTAGAGTCTTATTACGGAACTATTCCGTCGGGATTTGTAACTGTTAGATCATCATGTAACCGTCGTGGATAATTAATCTAACGGTTAGAAATTCCGACGGAATAGTTCCGTAACAGGACACCGTATAATATCTCCCAATTTGAAATGAGAGAGAGAGAGAGGTTTTACGTATATATGAGGAAAGCAGTGCATGTGAAGAATGATTTTGGGGTTGTTGAAACAAGAAAGAAGGATGGAGAATTGATCATGACGTGACCTATTATAACTAATTGTGGACATACAAATTAAATAGAATTGTCCAACACAACACTTGTTACATTTTAATTATGTGAATAGAATGTCTTATTGCATTAAACTATTGCACTACGTACGTATAGTAATAATACCTAACTAGTTTCACATGTGTTGACAATTAGCGTTTGCTGCACTCATTTATACATAAATATAAATATAAATAATAATATTCAACACAAATAGACAACTGAATCAAAATAAATAATATTAGATTAATACTATATGATATATGGAGCTTTAGCTAAACTAGAATTAAGATAATTAAACTATTAGAATGGGTAGATGAGACTAGTTTATAAGTATAGTAGACTACTCCTTCAATCGTCAATTGCTTTTAGGATGAAATCCCACTATCTGGCGCGCGATTCACGTCCTTGTCAACCTCTCTTTATTCATGGTATAAGAGTCGGTTCACCCAGCTTAGTTAGACTTGGGCCTACGTGGGAGCAGTGCACTACAAGTTCGTGGAACCACACCCGTCAACTCCCGTTTCTTCATGGTATCAAAGCGGGTCTGTCGTAGGACCTGCAATGACTCTTTCTAGCAGGTCTGCTATGAGCTTGGACTCTATATTCTCTATCTGACCTGCTCTGAGCTTGGGCTTACAAAGAACTCACAAGTGAGGGGACGTGTTGGAATATCACTTGTGAGTTGTCCACATTGATTTTATAGGGCAAATGAGCTTAGTTTATAAGCCTAGTAGGCTACTCTCATCACCAATTGGTTTTGACCTTTTGGGATGGAATCTCACTAAGGTGCATCTATGCTCACCCTCTTATGGTACGCTTCTCTTGGTTGGACAACACTCTCTTCCCCGGTTCTAAAAGTCTAAAAAGTTTACACATTTGTGACTTATATAATCATATATTAAATGTCTAATTGTTGAAATAATCTTCAAGGAAGACGCGCAGAGAAGAAAGTGGGGATATATGTGAATGGTTTACTTTTCACGATAGAAAACATGCCAACTAATAAAGAGAATACAATTAAAGCGAGTTAAAATATAAAAATAAAATTAATTAACAAGTTTTATGTGCAATTATTGAATAATCTTAAGCGTAAATGATCCTTGCTTAATTCTCATATCTAGAAGCATGTATTTATTCGATGATTTATTTATACTTTGAATAATCTTAGATATATGCTTTATTTATATATATATATATCACATATATGACAACAACTTCCTTTTTATTTCAACTTTAGAAGGTGGTTATTTTTTAGCCCAAATGGACGGGACAATAAAAACAAAGTATTCACGTAACGTGCACCCAACTCCTTATAATTGTCAAAATACGTGGGATTTGCATCTTGATGACATTTAGACTACATTTGATTAAACCTAGTCCAGGTTATAACTTTTAAGTGAATTTCAGACTATAGCTAATATCTCATGATTTAGGGTTGAAAAATTTACGTATGTGATAAAAGTGTTTGATTAAATTAACTTATAAACTAGTTGAAATATAAAATTCAATTAACTTATTTAAAAAAGCTTTCCGATGAGAGCTTAAAAATAAATAAATAAATAAATAATTAAAACTCAGTTCCACCAACTAAACTAATTAGGTAAGATACAAGGTGACTTATATATAGTACTTACCAAACACAACCTTAATCCTACCCAATATTTAATTCTGAAGATATTATAATCTAAGCGAAGAGAAATGAGAATAATGGAAAGGATATATCTACTAAGCTATATATCATATGCTACACCAACCAAATAGGGCCTATAAAAAAATTATTCGATTTCTCATGAATAATAACAAAGGGGGTGTCTATATGTACACCCCCTTGTGTGTAAAAAAGGGGTGTACATATAGTATTGCCCTTTGTGTAATTTATTAAAAAGGGGTGTACATATAGCATTGTCCATAACAAATCATATAATTACAAAGTAATAGATTATTTAAATACGAATAAAAAAAAAATTGTGTTTGGTTTGGGAATATTTGTATTGGGATGTGGGGGAGAGGGAGAGAGAGAGAGAGAAAGAGTTTGTTGGAGAGATAGAAGGGAAAGAGATGGGTCTGTGGGGGTGTCAGAACAATTCAGCAAAAGAGTTGTTGTGCAGAAAAAAAGATTCTTCATGCGGAAAATTACGAATTATTTAATCGTCCTTTTGTGTTTATATACTTAAAAAAAAAAGAAGAACGCATAAAATAAAACCGGACTCGACCCGACCCGACCGACACCACGGTACCACCATCCCCTCGTGAAGCACCTATCTATAATAAGGGAGGGGTGGAGGACCATCCATGGATAGTTCAATTCATTCCATTTGTCAATTCTATTACTAACATTTTACAAAATGAATTTTGTAAGCAAAATCTTATGCTAAGAAGTAAATGTTAAAATCATATGCGTATACGGTTCATAAGACAATGTGTACAACATTCGTGTCTGTTTATCTTACTTGCTAGACATATTCTCCCAATCTTGGTCGGCATACTCGTGAATAGTGTTGTTAAATTAAATGAGTTTGGTTCGGTTCGAGTTTGGATCAAGCTCGAGTCCTTAACGAGTCGAACTCAAGCTCATTTAAAGCTCGTTTGGTTAACGAGTCGAGTTCGGCTCGGCTCGATAATGCTTGAAAAGAGAATATTTATATATTTTCAATATTTCAGCTTATTAAGCTCGAAATCGGTTCTTTAAAGCTCGTACTCGACTCATTAATAGTGATAAATGAGCCGAGCCCGAGCTCGATTACTGACTCATTTATTTAATGAGCTCGTCATATCCCATTGAGCAAGTTCAAACGTTAATAAAACAAAAAGGCATTTGATATTCGATATTTGTAATGGGACCAGATTTTAATTTGATACAAGATTAAGTATATAATAAATGCACAACATAGTGATTGTAACGCAAATTCATCAAACAAAAGCCAATTTTGCCAAGGATGAATATTGGTTATTGCACTATTACAAGGGCAGAGTTCTGGGAGCTTTTCCAAGGATTATCACTAGCTTAGGACATGGGTTATCAAAAAACTATTGTTGACGTGGATAATAGGAGCGTGGTGGAAATGGCTGCTGGTGGCCAAAGGGACAACCTTGGAGTGCATGGAAGCTTGGTTCAGGCCATTCGCGAACTGCTCCATCAGGCGTCGGATGTGAGAGTTACGCCTACTATCGAGAGGCCAACTTTACTGTTGATTGCTTGGCGAATCTTGCTCACAGTTGTCCTGGGGATATCAACGTTTATTTGACCCACCATTAGTAGTTGTTGAAAAAAAAAAAAAAAAAGACCCACCATTAGTAGTTCGTCCGTGGTTACAACACGACCTTGTTGGCGTGGCCTATCCACGGTCCGTACCTACTTGATGGTCTTAGGCTTTCGCCTCCTTCTTTGTACCAAAAAAAGCCAATTTTGCCAAAATTTTGTCTTCCATATGAGTGTCCTGCTGTCCCTAGAACTTAACTTCATATTAAGACAATGCTAGTCATATTTTTTTGGTTGAATTTAATTAATTATATGATTGTACTCCTCTCTAATGGATACATGTAGAATGACTAATAAATTAATAAATTGATAATGTGAATGAATTCTATTAAATGTTTTGTATTTTTCTTGATGCATTACACTGGTATAATTGTATAAATATACAATTAATAATTTATTTTAGAAAAAGAAGAAAGAAAAATACATAAATCGAAAAAGGAATTTATTTATTTATTTATATAGGAAAGAATAAAGAAACAAATACACAGTTGGGGTTGAGCACGGTGTTGTCCCTATTGCTGCCCTACCAGATTTTGATTCTCTCACGCGCACTTCTAATTCTCACAATCAAATTTTTGAAAGATAATTAAAAAATAAATACTTAATAATCCTTAAATCCACAAAATTCCATCATCTTTTTGGCTCATTCTAAATCTACTATTCTGTTTTACAAGACAAACTCAACTTTCTCAGTCCCCTCTCTCTCTATCCCTCCCTCAGTATTGAAATCAACCCATCACCCAATTTTATTTTTTTATTTTTTTCTTCTTTTCCAAATATTATTTATTGATTCATTTGCCAATTTTTGAGGGAATTTTTGAAAAAAAAAAAAAATGGCAGCTCCAAACATGGCTACAATCACAGCATCTTTAGAGAGATCTCTTCAAAACTGCTCCTTGAACAACCACCACCACCACCCGCAGAGCAGCAGCAGCAGCAGCAGCGCCGGCGGCGGCGGTGGAGCCGAGGCGGCGCACGGGCCGCCGAATCTGTCCGCATCGCCGGCCTTGGAGCTCAATTCAGAAGCTTCCCTCCCTTTCAATTGGGAGCAATGTCTCGATTTGAAGGTAAATAATTAAAGATCGCAATCAATATGGTGTTTGTGGGCTCGTGTTTTTGTAGCTATTTTTCAGCATTTAATGTTCCCCAAACCTTAACAGATCCAATCCACCATTATTATTATCATCCCCACCTGACATTTGTTCTTTTGCTTCCTGTCCTCAAATCAAAATGCTTCTCTTCTTTAAATGGCCCCTTATTTATTGTGTCCTCTGTTCATTTATCTCCCTCCCATACTAAATAAATACTCACATTTTCTTGTCATAAATACATGTGTAAAAAGACTGAATCTTTAATAAAAGCCCAATCTTGCACATGCATTTTTCTTGAAATGGAGTAGGAAGACCCTTTTTTGTGGCTTAAAGATTTCATTTTTCTTCCTTTGATGTGTTGCCCATTAAAAAAAAAAAAAAAAAAAATTGGAGGACTGAATATACTACATAAATTAAAATATACTAAATAAATACTGACATTTTCTTGTCATAATTATAATTACATGTAAAAAGACTGAATCTTTAATAAAAACCCAATCTTGCACATGCATTTTCTTGAAATGTAGTATAAACTAGAAAGACCCTTTTATTGGCTTAAAGATTTCATTTTTCTTCCTTTGATGTGTTGCCCATAAAAAATAATAATAATTAAATGCAGACAGGTGAAATATACTACATAAATTGGAGGACTGGCATGAAAGTTAAGGAGGATCCTCGAACAATCGACGAAAATGAGTTTAACGATGACTGTTACTACTCGGAGGATGAGGATAGCAGCAGCTCATACGACAGCCAAGGCTCGTGCTCAGAGACTTCACCATCGTCATCCTCACCGTCAAGACTTGAATGGTGTGGTAAGAAGAACAATAACAAGAGCAAAATCGAAGAGAATTGCTGCTACAATCAAAGAAATAATGAAGGAAATAATAGTAGTAATAGTAATAACAATGTGCTTGTGGTGGGTGGATGCAAGAGGTGTTTGATGTACTATATGGTGCCCAAACAGCTGGAAATTTGCCCCAAATGTTGTGGTCAACTCCTGCATTTTGATCGATCAGAAGATGGGGGGTCCTCTTGATTCTATTGTTCTTTATTGTCCCTTTTTTTTTTTTTTTGTAACAGCGGTAAAAATTTCTTTTAATTCTTCGGTGTTTTGGAGGAGTGTTTGGTAATGGAAGTTGATATGAGCTGTGGAGTTTCCATTGTGAGACAAGAAAAAATGTATTGTTCTTTTTTTTTTGTGTGTGTGTGTGTGACTGAATGTGTGTGATAACACTCGATCAAATGTAATTTGGTGCTGGTACTTGCATTTATGTATTTGGCTTCATGATTTGCAGTTTTTGGGTTCGATCAATGTGTGTTAAGTTTAGAGTCATTAAAAGCAGGAAAACTCGGATGTGCGAGAACTCTCTCATGGGTTTTTTGTCGTTGGATTAATACACACCATATGGTGTGTATATGTGTGATACGACGATAAAAAACAAAAACCCGAGATGTGAAGGAAGACTCTCTCATGGGTTTTTAACCTTTCTTTTCTATGTGTTGATTTAGGATTTGAATTTAGTATTCAAATTTAGATTTATCATGTAATGTAGTGAACTATATGGGTTTTCGAATTAGATTTTCTTCGATATGTGTATTTCTCAGTAAATAAAATAGCATATTTATCAACTTCAACTCGACTCCGACTTGCTTATATATATAAATTTAGATTCGAGTAACTAATTGAGTTGGTTAGTTGAGTTGTTTGTTGAGAACACTCCAAAGGCATATTTTTTTTTTTTTGTTGTTAGTTACATGACATCCATGTTCCTTACGTCCTACTACTATTCTAATTAATTTATATCTCCTCATACCTTCAATATAATATTGCATATATGGTTTAATAACTGATTAAATAAAATATAAAATATGAATCCAACTGAAAGCAAACCAACCAGAATTCTTTATTAACAAAGCACTGAGTTTGAATATTCATTCTGTATCCAACCAATCTCAACTTGAATAACAAAACTAACGCTATATATGTAATAATAATAATAAAAAAAATATTCAACACACACCTCAACTTGAATAACAAACAAAACTGAGTCGTTATCTATAAAAAAAGCTCAAAATGCGATAATAGTTTCCTTAAGTTGATTGCCTTTCTTCAAAAAAAAAAAATATATATATATATATATGAAACATAATTTCTTGTAGATTACTTAAGTTTTAATTAGAAATCTAATGTAATTTATTGCAAATATATTACGAGGTGGACATACTTTTGCAACAAATTTTAATTCTTTCTCCAAAGATAAAATTTTACTCAAATTCTACTTCTAGTTGTATTTATAGGACTTATTTGAAAATGATAATAGTTTCATAACTCTTTTGCAAGTTGCCAAAACTAAAGGGACGAAATTGAAATATTTTGCCAATAAATGAGTTTTGGTTAACGCGTTAATACTACAAAAACACGCTTAGAGTTTAGGGAAGCCTTCCAGAAAGAAAGAAAGCAACCTACTCTCACCTCTTTCAAATCCTTCAAACTTTTTTTGTTTTCACAAATTCATCTCTCTATAAATTAATCAAAATTGTTGAATCACTTCACTATCGCAAAGATATTTTTTTATTGAATCGGACAGGCATGGAGAAAAACCAGGAGCCGGCGATCGGGATCCCCTACAACGCGGCCTACCATGCCCCGGCGATGCCCCAAGCATACTACGTCGGGGAGAACCCTCACCAGGCCGGCGTAATCCCTCCTAACGCCATCGTTGGGGATCCAAAGGGTATACCCCTTCAGCAAACGATTTACCGCGATAGCCCCGCCCCTTTCAACTGCGTTTACTGCGGCGGATCAGGTCTAACCACCGTCAAGTAATTTTCTCCACCTCTTTATTGATTTACTTTTTATTTCTCCTAATCTTTTCTTCTGACGTGGTTTTTGGGGGAAAAATTGTTAGTTTTTTTTTCGCTTTTTTATGTTTTTGTATTGCTAAAAGTGTGTTGATTGGAAAGATGATTTTGGATCGCATTGAGAGTTGATGTTTGATTGTTAACAATCTCCAGCTCAGGAAGATAGTAATTGGAAATTTACAGTAAACAGCATCACACAGGAATTGCTATGATGTGAAATTCAAATTGATGATTGGAAATTCAAACCTATGATGTGAAAAGTGATGGATGGTTTCCTTTGGTTAGACTGTAGGAATCAAGTTTACAGAGCAGTAAAGGTTGTGTTGTTGTCATGCTTTTGGCCGTGATGTGAATGTAAATATCTTCCCCTTGTCGAAGGACTTGACATCCGGAAATTGTAGAGGTATAGTGATGTAAACGAATCAAGGATCAGAAAGCGTGACACTAATCCAATCTACGAACGAACGTATGATTTGTAGAAGCTAGTTGCTGAAATTGGACCAAGTGAATGGGGATGCTGGTGTGTTTCTTATGTGATGTCATTTTCTTTCATGCCTACTTTGTTGTCCTTAGATAAAGAGAATATAGTAATGAGCTAACTACTTTTCTCTTTCCCAATGTTTAAAAGTAGCCATTTCCTAGAAAAATGCTTCTCGCATCATAATAAGTGTAAGAATTGAAATTTTATTATAACGCCAATGGCCTATTGTTTTATTATCTTGAATAACCACAGAACATAGAAGCTCAGACCTATTGCCTGATCATGAGATAGATTGAATCTAGTATTTCGATTTTTTAACTATCATTTCTTTTAACTCGCCTGGACCTGGATACTCATAGATACCCACGAATAATTTATTTTTTTAATACGGTTGTCCTATTTTTTGGTTGTTTTAGCTGTTTTAGCGTGTTGATATGCTTTCTCACTTTGGCAAGCTACTTCTTTTGCTTCCCATCAGGTCGAAACCAAGTTTGGCTGCTTTTGTTGGTTGTATGATGCCATTTATGCTAGGGTTCTGTTTTCTTTGTCCTTCCATGGATTGCCTATGGCACAAGTATCATTATTGTCCAAGCTGCAATCAGAAGGTCAGAATTACTTGTTTTCTGTTTAATCTTTGGTCTTCCATAGCATGCACATGCCGAAATTCAGTAATAGTATTTGAGATGTGAAAAAAACTTTCTTTTGCCAGGTTGCCAACTTTGAGAAGTCTGATATTTGTTTGGTCATGGACCCTCCACAATGGGAACAAATGAGTTTTGCGTTGCCTGCATGAAAACCACAAGTTTATCACTGTCATAGTATTTCTTCTCATGCGCACTTTTTGATTTGATAATATACAGAAATGTAATAATGGTGCTCTCTCACTCTCTCTCTCTCTCTCTCTCTCTATATATACACGCACGTATACTCATATGTACAAGGCTGTGAAGAGAGTATTTTACTAGCATCTGTTATGAATTTGGGTGAATTGGAGGCTAAAATTAGGGATTCTGGAGAAAGGGGATCGAGAAATGAAGAAATGGAACATCTGGGTTCTTTATTCAACATTGACTTAATGGGAGTGCCAGAGATCGCCACGTGGAACCATGAACAGCGTTGGATTGAAGTGTTGATCAAGCAAACTTAGCCGTACACGTGGTCCCAAGAGCTGATGGCATTTTGTTTATTCCTTTATTGTATTTTTCCGCATTTTTTGGATATGAGGGAGTGAGTGCATGTGTTTGTTAGAGTGGGCCCAGTTTGTTAGTTTTTTAAGAGCATGTGAGCAAAGATTGGTGGATTATGGAAAAAGTTATCTAATTTCTCTCTCTCTCTTCTGAATATTCCTCCTCCCTTTCTATCTCTATCCTAATCTTCATCTTCTTCATTAAGCTATTTTAATTCCCAAATAATTACCAGAAAATATACAAAAAATTACAAAAAATTCCAAAAACTTAACAGCATCTTGTGTATATTCCTTGTTCTTGCAACTTTCAACTAAATATGCAATTGGTTTGAGGTTCACACATCTTGTAGTTTCAGTTTCTGTTATTGGTATCTCACTTTTTACTGTTAATTATCACAGTTTCTTTCGTTAATTATCACTGATAATTTGTTCTCCTATAAGACTGAAATAACTTCAGTCTTATTAGTTATTAGTTAATTTTAAACTATTATGGATAGGTACAGAATTTCTAAGATGAATTCTCCCTTATGAAGTCATTCAATTACTTGCATGATTGTTTATTGAGTTAATTGGAAATTGTATGGTTAATTTGTAGAACTTTGTTTTTAGAGCATTACAGAAAAGTACGGCCTTTTTTTTCTTTTGCAATTTTCAATTTGTTTCAATTCGATTAAGTAAGATATATTATATATACAGCCAAAATTGGCAATGTGTTATTATTAATTATCTATAAGGTCTTGTCTAGAATTGTAAATTAATTGAACTTCGTAGAACTAAAGTTTGTTCGAGTTTGTTCGTGTTCGCTGAGAGTTTATTCGTTTATTAGTCGCTGAATATAATATTTTGTTCGTTAATTGAGCGTACACAAGCTCATTCGCTATGTTCGACAATGTTGAATTTTAATTAATATAGATTTTAAGTTGTCTATATTAATTATCATTGATACTTTAAAATATAATATTTTTTATTTGTTAATCTAGAGCTCGAGTAACTTTGAACTAGCTAGTCTCGAGTTCATCAAATAATCTCAATAAGTTTGGTTACTAAATTATTTGAAAATATTTTTTGATGTGTAAATGAATTAGCTTGAACACAAAATTTTGCTCGAATAATGGACAAACGGACACAAACAGTGTTCGGACTAAACCAAACACGAGTTCGAAAATGTTCACAACTCATTCAGTTCGACAACACTAGCCTTATCACTCAACAGTCACAAGTGATAATGACTGACACGACACCAAATACGAACACGTCATGATTAGAAAATACAATAGAGATAAAATAACACGATAATCTTTACGGAACACGATATGAATACATAATTCAGTTAGTTGAGATTGAAATATTCACGCCCGGCTCATTCAGTTCGATTATAACACTAGTAGCCTTATCACATATGCAATAGTTACATGTGATAATGACCGACATGACACTAAATAAAATTACGACATGATTAGAAAATACGATAAATATACAATAGTTACAAATGATAATGACCGACACAACACGAAATACGAATACAACATGATTAAAAAATACAATAAGGATACAGTGACACGATAATACTTATGGAACCGATACGAGTAAAGGATTCATTTAGTTTAGATTTAGTGTCATGATAATATATGATGACACTATATAATAATTAGAGGAGACAATTATAGAGATAAATGATAGTGTTAGCGAACTCCATACAATATACTTGATGAAATAAAGAATTCCTTTAGTTTAGATGATCAAATTCAAAGATAAGATGATACGTAGAAATACAAACGTATACAATATCACGAGTTGTTGGCCCTAAGATATTTGTTTAAAAAAAAAAAAAAAA